TACTGCCTCAAACCTAACTCTCACGCATATATAACCCACCAAGGAATACATTCATACACTCGAAATACGTCAAAATACTAGATGAAAAATCACAGGATCAATAAATCCAGAAACAGCGTTAACTTTCTTGGCTTTAAGCTTCTTAATACCGTACCTCTCCACACAGGAGCTCTTGAAATGGACGATTTCAGTGTGTTTATGTGTTTTCGTTTATCAAGAGCATTGTTAGGCATACATAAATTTCTGTCTTACGAGTTCTCGGATTTGATATAGCCTTCCTATTTTATTTACCCTTCTAGTCGTCGTATTTTGCCTTTGATTGTTTTATACATATATAATGTATTTTGTCATCCACTATTATTTCGTTGTATATATATTTTTATTTTGCTCTGACCTGTGTAAGCACGGGCCTCAACACCAATAAACTAGTATTATTAGTAACTATACAGTACTTCGCGAAATCCGATGGTTTTGAGAACGTTTTTTTTTGCAGCATCTTCATTACAATTTATTGACTTTTGCCAAAAGGTGCAACTCTCGAAAATATATTGACGACGATACGACAAAGCCATATGAGTGGCATTCACCAGACGTCACTAACAGAGGGCATCATAAGCAATACAAATCAACTGCGAACACATATAAATATATATAAATGTAAGCGAACCAATTTCTGAAATTGAAAAACCAACATTTTGTATTGCTCACTATTACTTGCATTGTTGCTCGAATTTCATTATGTCAGCCTGTCAGCAGTATTTAAGCTCAACATTGATCACTACCTAAAATTTATTAAATGCGGATTAGCGTCTATTTCAATCATCAATTGATTAAAACTTCAATCTTAGGGGATTTCTTTTCAAATAAAATATTAATAGGTACGAGGGACATTTCTGAATAAACTCTCCAGCATTAGAGGAATCAGATACCTAATTATAGTGTGGCTCCCATTTAGGTTTGACCTACAAATGCATAGTTTTCCCACTAGAATAAATTAGTTGCTTTCATTTAGTCAATTAGGCGTTCCATTTCGAACAACCGATGGAATATTGAAGCATCCGGTTTTAGATCTGTTCTAAAATAGATACGTACAGTAAAACTCAAGCTGGTTCACCTCTTACCTCCTACCCGACTCCGCTATGAACTATCGTAGTTGCGAAAGTGATATAAGGTACCTGTACCAAATAAGGCCACATTAACGTTTGGATAGCTGTAACTGCGTAAATATTTGCGAAACGACCTTGAAATTTTAAAGGTATTATTGTGGATATGTTTATTACACAAGCTACATCGGAGAACTCGGAGACCTTCTCTTTTCATATAAAAAAAATATATTTTTCGAAACACTACCGTTGGCCTTATTAGGAACCCATGTATCCAAGGCCACCATCTGGTTTTCAATAAAACCACAATCAAAATGTAAACCAAGACTGTATATTGAACGAAGCTATATTTCTAATTAAACAAAATTAAAGAAACACTTAAATCTAGACAGATTTAAATAAAAAAAGTCAACTTGTTTAAAGAAAATCATACCGAATCTTAGATTTTGCCTTCGCAAACAAATGATACTTTATCACCTCTACCCAAGCCTACACATTCCTCATGGACATATCTTAAGCACACTACACACAGACGCATGTCACGTACTTCATCCTTATCGCATATGAAACAGTACCAGTTTTCGTCTTTATTCTTTTGGGACCTTTTGCTTTTAACGGTTCCAGACTCACTAGATTTTTTTATTGTTTTATCTAAGCCGGATGGACCTGGATTTGGGTCTTTAAACAAATCTCTTACGACGATTTGCGGAGTAGAATTGATGGCTTTTTGTCTTTTTGTGGCGTTGGCCTACCATTCGGGTGTGGGAAGTACTTCCCTGAAACTTAGATCCAATTGATCACTGTCTCTTTGACCAGTCACAAGATTTGTTGTTTCAAGAACTGCAAACTTTTGAGTCGAGTTTATTTCTTTTTCATTAGAAGTAGCTGTTATCTGTAACATTGAAGTTCCGTTGGCCATCAGTAGTGCAAGGGGTATGTCATCAGATTCTGTAAAGCTGACATCATGGTTTTCTTCATTCTCCTCCTAAACATCTGTAGCTGCCGTATTTGAATCGGGCCTCTCTGACACTAAACTAGGTGTATATATGTATAGTGTAAGATTTTCAGAAGACTTGGATACACTTTCCTCAAAATTTCTCCAAATCTTGCACGATTCAACTTCCTGTCAGGATACCGCTTGTAATGGTTAAGTATTTCATTTTCCCAATGATATTCGAAACTGCGGAAAACACATTTATCCAGCGGTTGCAGCACGTGTGTCGTGTTACTCGGAAGACACAATAAAGTGGTGTGATGTTTTTCGGCGGCGTCAACAATAGTTGCATCCAAATGAGAAGAGGCACCATCAAAAATGAGAAAAATATCTCCTGGTGGCTTATACAGGGTGGCGCAGAGAAAACGCATGTTTTCTGAGCGAATAGTATTTCGCAAAGAGAAGTGGGTTGACCTTGCCTCACCGCCAGCAGAGAAGACACTCAATGCAGTTTTAGCCATGGTACCGTGGACAACTGAGCATCTTGTGTTTGCCGTAGAGCAATTTTTGAGCATGTAGTTTCCCGTTTGGGCGATGTTCCTTCGCCTGCACGCTTCTCAGATTTGTCCGCAAGTGACTTCTTTTTGTGGGGTTCTCTTAAGGCTAACGTGTATCCTCACAAACCCCGTAGGTTACAGGAACTAAAAATTGCTATTCGTCAAGAACTCGCACAAGAAATGATCCATACGTGTAATGCAGAACTTTCAAGAGCGGTTGGAGATGTGCGAGCGCAAAGAAGGGCGACACTCGAGTGACATAATTTACTATAATTAATTTAAAAGTGCACTATCATTACTTTATTTAGCTGTAGTTGAAATATAATTATCTTAAACATAAAAAACGTTATGCTTACGTGAAAATCATGCGGTTCCTCTGCGCCACCCTGTAGTTTGCTAGATGGTCTAGCCATTTAACAAACACTGCTGCCGTCATACTTCCTTTCTGGGTCATTTCAATTACTGTTCCGGTTGGCATATTGTCAGCCCATTCATCCTTTTTACGTTTTCCCTTGAACAGGACCATTGGTGGTATTGCCTGTCCAATAGCATTTCCACATGCAACTATTGTGGAATTTTCTGCGTGCTCATTAGCTACATAGTGAACACGTCTTTCACCTTTCCTCGCCAACACATTTGGTTGGCGGTGGATGGTGAGTCTGCACCCCTTCTCATCTACATGGTAGATACGATGGGGCTGATTGATTAGGTTTAGTCTAATCAGCAAACTTTCTAGTTTTTTGAAGTAGTCGTTTACAATGTACTTATTTACTTTCTGTGCCCTAGCTGGATTTAAAACATGTGCTTTCCTTTGGCGAATATTTTCATGTCTGTCCTAAAACAACTTCAACCATTTTCTACCTGCCATTCCAATATTTTCATTAAATGTGTGACGAATTTTTTTGTCATTAACATAGGAAAAGACGGATTTTCGCAAAATCTTTGCTGTAAGGGGCATTCCTGTATCCGATAATCGGATTATCCTTGAGCATAGTTCGTCTTCCTGCTCTCTAGACAAAATTGTACGAGTACCAAGTTTTCTTTCTCGCACACCTGTACGAACATGATTGCGAAGTGTTCTTCGTGGAATTTGCTATTCTTTGGATGCACGATTTACCGACGTTCCACTGTTTATACTATCCAGTGCTTGTACAAGCGCTTCGGTTGACCACAGCACTCTTTTCTTAGAGGGCATATTTCGACTATAGTCTCTGAAAAAAAAACATCTTAATTTAAGACATCTGCCGTAATAGCCAGCGTGTTCCATAAGGCCAAGTCGCCGTAATGGGAACCGTTTACATGGCCTTATTAGGCACATATAACCTTAAACATACAATTTATAAAATACAAAATATTTAAAACCTGGCGACGACAAATAACTAGCTGTATATGTTCTATAGACTTACCTCATTGAACTGACAACAGATTTCGCAAAAAGAAGCAGACAACATGAAAAATCGAAGACAAATTTAAAGTAGTAATTTTGTAAGGCACGTGTTGAAAATCGACACTGGCCAACTGCGCCATCTAGCGCCGCTCCACACCTGCTACATTTATGGGTGCTAACTCATCTCAATGAATGTATAGAACTGTAGAAATCTTTAATTCTAGATGTAACTAGTGTCTGTAAAATCAACGCATGGCCTTATAAGGAGCTTGGCCTTATTTGGTACAGGTACCTTATCATGTTTTTTGGATAATTATGACATGTTCATCACGCGGGGTGGAGTAGGGAGTATTTCAATTCTTTATGTCTTCAATGTTAATACATTTATACGCTCCCAAGCCTGGTAATTTTACGTAGTTTCACCCATACTTCTGTCTTTAAAACTGAATGCTAGAAAAATGTGTTGGATACTCATCTCCTTCTGCTATCTAGGCTCAGCGCTCGGCCCAGCGCTCTGCTTGATTTTTCTGTTCGTATTGCCGACTCGGAAACCGAGCGATGGAGCAGTCAAATACATATAGACTTCTGTGTATGCTGAGTTTATTTGGAAGGCTACTAGAACAACTGACAGAAGGTTATCGAATCAATTTCCTGAATGACTTCGGTTCTGCTTGCACTTAGAAAATCTTAGGTCCACCCAAATACTTTCAATAGCCCGTATTTATAAAAATTAAGCATTTACTTTGAAGTAAAAGGTACAAGCAAAAGGTAGAAGTAAAAGGTTTTGCTCTAAATCGTATTCATAATCTCTACCTCTTTCTTGTAAGCAAATGCTTCGGGAAAATAAAGTAAAAGGTACGGAGATCTTATTTGTGTCATAATTAAAAGCAGTTTGCACGCCAATTGATGTAAAGACGATCCATCTAACTTATTTGTGCAGCTATTTTTAAGTGAATAAAATATTTAAAATATCTGACACCGATAGTGAACACGAAGTTACCGAAGATGCCCCTAACGAGATGATGTTTATCGCTGAAAAGGTCCAAGCATTCCCGGAGATTCTCGAGAAATCTCAAGTTCCAGCGATGAAAAAGAAGAAAACTGCTACATTAACCGATATCGTTAAGGAGTACGTTACTTTATTTGGCAAGGAGATGGATACTAAAGCTTTTATGAAAAATTTGAACAATATGAAAACGCGACTGAAAAATAAAACTGACAAAAATAAAACAGGGAACAAGCCCATTCGTCTTTTGTCCTGGGAGAAAGTTATGTTAAAGGCTACGGAGGTCTTTACTATTACCTTGTAGGTACTTATCATGCATGTATATTTTTATTAGAGGCTCTTGCAATTGGCGTGGCAAGTCAACCTTCTTTACCTACTTCAAAGGATGGCATTATGGTGGAAAACGACGCTCATCAGATGATTATGCTAACAAAAAGCGATCCTACACATCGGTTAAAGAGGTTGCTGCAAAAAAATTCCTCCGAAGCCGACCTTTACTTCGGGCAAACAAGAGTCTGATGAGACGAGGCAGTTAACGACAACCCAGCTTCAACGATTTGTTTTAGTTGAACAACTGAAAGTTGCTCGTCTCCAACAACAATATTAGTCTGCCAAGCTAAAAAATTTAAACGACGCATCAAACGAAAAAGCTCCGCTAGAGTATGTTGTTGTTGGAGATAATATTTACCAACACTTGTAAATAGACGTATATGTAATATTTATCATTTATAACAATAAAAAATAATTAGTTTTTTTCCAGTTCAAACGTGCAAGTTGATTTTTAGTTTAGGTAAATACATCTTTGTACGTTTGAAGTAAACGACATATACATAGCATTACATGAAAGTTTTAATCCTAATTATACACTTATATTGTTATTGGTAATAAGACGAGCTAATTCCTTTCACCGCCTTTGTCCTTGTGCGCGAATAGCATCTACATTTCCATTCTATATAAATGGCAAGTCATGTTCTTCATCTTCGTCATTTTCTTAAAAATCTTCATCTCTTAATTGCTTAGCTATATTGTGCAACGCAGCACACGCAATTATAACTTTTGCAATACTGGTCAGTTTTACTCTGCATCCATACTTCAGGATAGGAAATCGCCGCTTTACTTGCCCAAATGTATGCTCAATCACAACTCGCTCTGATGTAAGCAGCCTGTTAAAGACTCTCTGATATTCCTCGTGGGGGTAGGTGTGATGAGTCATAAGACTTAACATTATACCATACCCACTGTGCCCTAGAAGAATAGTGTTTCTTGTCTTTTTCATGATTTCACACACTGCCGAATTTTTCCATATACGAGCATCATGGACTGATCCAGGACAACTTGCATCTATACAAGTTATAACAGAATTCTGGTAGCACGCAACCTGTACATTATTACTGGCAAAACCTTTTCGATTTACATATTCGTCTCCAAATTGGGCTGGTTTTCGAATATGCGTACAGTGGATAACTCTAATAGCTGTGGGAAAACGGAACCTGGTCAACCATTTCTCCTTGGCCTGCATAATTTAATTTTCTGTATTTGGGAACGTGATAAATTCTCCGGCTTGTTGTACAATTCGCGCTAGCACGTCATGAAATATTCTGGACACTGTGGGCAGCGAACATCCCAATTCTTCAGCTATTCCGCTATGAAATCCAGGGTTCGCACAATACCGCAGAAATATTTTCATTTTCCGCACAGGTGACTGGGCTGCTCCACGAGTTCCGAAATCCATGCCAAGAAAGTAACTGGCCAACCACACCACATTTTCCTCCTCAAATCAAAACAACGTCTTGAAATCTGACTCACGAGGTGTACGTCTTGGTTTGTATTATTTTCTTGTAAGAAAATGCACCGCATTAGCCATAACTAACGCAATACTGCGACTAATCAACCAAATATCACTTAAACAAGCCCTTACAAATAGATTTTATTAAACGAAAATGCACAAATATTAAGATGCAGGCTCTAAGATGCCGAGACAACTAATGATAAAATGAGAAAAGCTGCTGTAACGTAGATTCCTTTTTTTAGAAGCAAATCCTTTAGTTTTTAAGCAAATGCTTCTTTTTATAAATAAGAAAACGTTAACACCTTTTACTTTACAGAAACGAGACCTTTTCCTTCACTTATTTTTATGCATATACTTTGAAGGAATTGCTTTATTTTTTGAAAGCAAAAGGTAAAACTTTTTTTTCTAAATATGGACTAATGTGTAGTCTTGGGAACTAGAAATCGGCCTTTGAGCATCATGCAGATGCTGGACCATCCAGTTGAATAAGAACACCATACAGGTTGTTAATAAAGCATGTAGACAAACTTTAACCATCAAATCCTTGGTCAATTTGAAGACGACATTTCCCTATGAACAAGGGTCCCAAATGGCTTTGTTTTCAAGCTAGAGCATATTAGCACTAAAAGAAATGAAGATATTGTTCTAAAAAATTATAAAAGAATGGAACTCATTTTATTTTAATTATGTATGCTCTGTGGTGAATATCACATGATTTACAGTTGTTTTAAGACCCTCCATGTACGTAGATACGGATAATGTTATCCAATATTTTTTGGAAAAATAGCATGACATTGATTTTTTTTGATCGGAATACTTTTAATATTTAAGTATTGTGCTTATCTAGACACCTATGATGAATCTGAAAATAATTGAATTAATTTATTTTCTGAAATAATTTGTGGTCACTTTGAACATTTATTATAAAAAAAAACTATTCGATACTTTTTATTGTTGTCATTCTATTCGAATGTTACTGTTCAATCTTTCACTCAGAGGAGATGGTTCATACTATAATCAAGAAGACTAATACTCTAAATAACAATGAAAAATATAAAAATACATCGGTTGCTTTTGATAAAACTCCAAAACAGATGGAGCTCTATCGCTACTTAAAGGGCAAACTTAATAAAAGGATCGCCCAAGGTGAAAGTAACCTCAGAATTAAATATTTCAATGGGGTTCCGAACATTGTTACTTTAAACGCATAACTGAACCCAATAACAGACCAAATTGTCATGAGAGACTTAAGCTAACTTGCTCCTACCAGAACGTTCGTGGTCTCAATTCTAAGACGGTGTCATTCTTCAATGCAGTCAGGGACTACGAATGTGATTTAATTTGCTTAACTGAGACGTGGCTGTCTGTGAATGTGAGTGATAGTGAATTATTTCCGGCTGAATACTGTGTGTTCCGATGTGATCGTAACTTTATTCGATCTGGGCTAGTCTCCAGGGGAGGAGTCCTGATAGCGATAACACGCGATTTCTATGCAATTAGAATTGACGCTAGCTTTGAGTCGAAACTTTCCGTCGATTGATACTGTATGTACTAGGCTTATTATTAACCATGAGCATATTGTTATCTTTTCTATTTATATTCCGCCTTCAATTAATTTGGACACGTTTGGTCAGTACCTTGAAGCTTTGGAAGTATTTAACAATGCATTCAGTAATTGTAAAATAATTGTTGCCTGTGACTTTAATGTCACATCATTCAACAGTGACGTTAATGATCGGAAGTCTCAATTAATGAGCAACTTTATTTCGTTTTTATATTTAACTAATTTTAATAATACTCCAAATATAAATGGTCGAATACTGGATTTAATTTTAGGAAATATCGAAATAGAAGTCCTCTGAGATAATACACCTTCTGTTAAAGAGGACGTTCATCATCCTGCACTGATCATGGAATTCATTACATCCGGATCTCCAACGAAATTACCATTTGCTAATTCTCCACGGTTTAACTTTCGTAAAGCTAACTTTCCTGAAATGTACACAGCCTTGCAAGATGTTAATTGGACGGAGGTGATCAATGAAGTTAATGTTGATGTCGCTTGTACCGCCTTGTATTCAGTTATCAATAACATCTTTGAGGTCCATGTCCCTAAATGTAAAAATAAAACGTTTTCGTATCCCCCATGGTTCAATTATACTTAGTATCAAGAAGGACATAGCAGGAAGGAACTGGAAACGTGACGGTAGTAAGTGTTCTTATGATCAGTTCAGTAATTTTAGGAAGCTCATTAAGAACCAGATCAGTGTTGCCTACTCCGCTTACGTCCAATCGGTTGAGGATGCCATTGTCAATGATCCTAGCAAATTCTGGTCATTTGCCCAGATAAAAAAACAGCAATCTAGAATCCCCCCAAGGATGACCCTTAACGGCAATGTCTGAGAAACGCCTCAAGATATAGTGGGCAGTTTTGCTACCTTCTTTTCAACAGTTTTTATCCCGTCTGGTCTACTAGGGTCATCTTCTCCAACAAATAATTCTACCGTAATTAGGGCTTCGAAAAGATTAAAGAACGAAATGACGTCTGGATGTGATGGTATTCCAAGTTTTTTCGTTAAAGATTGCATTCATATACTAGCGAAACCGCTGGCTTCCATATTCAACCTAATTCTAAAATCAGAGACATATCCAAATATCTGGAAGACCTCTAAAATATGTCCTATTCACAAAAGTGGAGATATCTCTGATATTTCCAACTATCGCCAAATAGCAATCCTGTGCAATTTCAGCAAGTTGTTTGAGATCATCGCTTATGAAACGGTTTACTGCTCGGTCAGGGGTGCAGTCTCTATTAATCAGCATGGGTTTGCGAGAGGCAGATCTACGGTCACCAACTTGGCTCTAATTACTCAGTACATTTTTGAAGTACTGGACGGTCAGGGACAAGTTGATGTCATCTACACAAATATTCAGAAGGCGTTTGATCAAGTTGATCATCATGTGGGTATGTCTGAAGCAATGCTGTCGCTCATGAATTCATATTTGAGGGTTAGAAGGTTATTTGTCGAATATGGTGGTCATAGGTCGAGTTACTATCGGGCCACGTCCGGGGTACCTCAAGGGTCAAATCTAGGTCCATTATTGTTTTTCATATTTATTAAAGACTTGTCTTTTGAACTGAAGTGTTTCCATTTGTTTTTCGCTGATGACCTTAAAATCTGCACGTCAGTCAAGACAGTCGAGGATTGCGTCATGTTGCAAGATGACTTAGCTCTAATTTCGTCATGGTGTTCACGAAACTGTCTCAGTCTGAATGTTTCAAAGTGTAAAGTTATGACTTATACAAAAAAGGTTAACTATTTAATTTATGGTAATTA